GCCATAGTTCATGAGTAGTTCATGTGGCGCGCAGGTGTAATTCAAGTGTGGCTCTGGTAGAGTGAATCATTGCTGTTCACTTGTAATCAAAATAAAGCTCATGTGCAGCTCAAGTCTACTTCAGGTGTAACTCAAGTGGGGTGCTAGTGCATCTCAGGTGTAGCGCAAGTGTTGTTCAAGTACAATTCCACTGCAATCGAAGTGTGGCTCGGTTGTGAACCATGTGGTTGAAGTGTAGCTCAGGTGTACTCCGGAGGTAGTTGCGGTGAGCTGCGCACCATCACGTTCGAGAAAAATCCCAGCGTGGTCCAAGCGTATCTCAGGCGCGGCTTAAGTGCAACGCACGCGTTGCCCACGCGTAGCTCAAGCGTAGCGCGGGCGAGTGCGCTCCAAGGGCAGTTCGACTGCAACGCGTCGCGAGACGCACCGCAGCGCCGCGCCGCGCCGCTAGGCGCACGCGGGCAAACACTGATGCCGACTCGGGCAACGTCGCCTCGCACCCCCCGCGCGGAACCGCGCCGCGGGCACAGTGCGGCGCAGCGGGGAACAACGCGCCCCATGTTGGAACGTCATCAATGTGTCGCGTGTGATCTAGAGACGGTAATGACACGCGCGCGTGCCCATCGCTGCGCGCGTAGAACAAGCGGCCATGCGACGCTGCTCCGCAGCGGCACCGCATCGCGCTCGCGCGCGAAGACGCATCTAGCGGGGCGCCCGACTCCCGTCTCACATTCGGCGGCAACGGTTTCCGCGCAACCGTCCGAATGGAAATCGCTTCAACATTGCCCGCGCGCTCGTGAGGGGTTGGCCCAGCACGCGCCCCTCATTCAGTCGCGAATGAATTTCGGCCGCCTAACAGTCCCATCACGGCGCGGCAAGTGGCGCCGCGCAGCGCGGATAGATGAACAAGGTCGCAGATGGCATGCGCAGCGGCCAATGTTGCTCCCGTGTGTCACGGCGCAAGCGTTTCCCAGTGCTTCGGTGGCAAAACTGCGATTTTCCGCATAATCTATTACTATGACGGAAACGCGTGCGTGCATCCGTTCTGCGATGGAAACACTGGTAAGCGCTGCTTCCTGCAATTAAAATTGCGCGCGCCGCATCTCCGCGCCTGCCCGGCACTCGCGCAATCTCTAGGCGCTCCGCGGGAATCCGAGGAAGCAGCGCGGATGCCGTGAATTTGCGTGCATGGCGTGTTTTTTTCTTCGGCCGCAAGCGTTCGCTGGGCGCCCTCTCCACGCTCTGGGCCACGCGCCTTGGCGCGGATGACGGATCATTCCACAGGCTTGGGCGCCAGCGCCGGCGCCGAGACGGAAGGTGCCCCAGCCGGGAGGGGGCGATCCTAGATGCTGGCGTCGGCGGCAATCTACCGGCCACCTGGGGCGCCCGAAGATTGCCAACGCCCCCGATAGATTGGGGCCATCGCCCCTGGGCGGAGGCGCGCTGCCAACGCAAGTGCTGGCCCCGAAGAGCACCCCAACGTGCACGAACCGCCTCCGAAGGCCCCCGAGAGGCCGCCCCCCGCAACGCCGCGGCGCATGCGCAGAATACTTCAGACCCACATCCCAGGCACTGTAGGAAGATGAGCCGAAAGACACTCGGATGACGCCTCAACCTGCGCCGATGATTCCCATCCGCTCCCACGCGTTCCCAAGTGCGCCAAGGCAGCGCGGGGGCGCGCCGACGCGACTCTGATGCGTCCCAGTCTGATAGAGAGGGGGCCGGCGGCAGGGGGCGAAGCCCTTGCGGATGCCTCTCTATCGCGTCCTCGCCGCACTCGCCATCGCCGCTGCCCGACGCAGCGCCTTGCCCTGCGCCTGCTCAGCGGCTCAAGTCCCCCGGGGCCCAGCCGCGCTGCGCGTGCAAGCCGCTGCCGCCTAGCCGCCTCGCGCGAACTCCAAGCCCGCGAGCGCGCCTTCGACGGCCTGGGCCGGCGTGCCCACTGGCGTTGGCGGCGGGCGCCGCAGGCCGCTCGGGGGCGGGCGCCCGGCGCCGCTGCCGCCCGCCAGCGCGCGCTCGGCCTGCAGCGCCACCTCCCCGCTGAGCCGGAGGAGTCGGGCGCCACCGCCTGCTCGCTTATGGCTGGGAAGCGGCAGCCTGCAAGGTCTGCCGGCAGCCTGCGCGCCCGCGGAGCCCCCCCCCCCCGCGGCATTTGCCGATCCCCCAACGCCTCTGCCGAGGCGGGCGCCGCGCGAACGCGCGGGCCGACGCCGCCGCCCACGCCGCGCCGCATCCGGCATTGCGCCGCGGCCGCCGGCGGGCACGCTCGCCCGCGTGCCTGCCGCGAGCCGTCTCGCTCGAGCCAAACTGGCCACGGGCGGCGGGGGCATCGGCGACGCGTGCGCAAGGCAACTGGAACTCAGAGAGGGAGAGAGATTATGAATGCATAAATGAATCAATGTACCACTATATATATGCACATATATAAGAGAGAGAGAGAGAGAGAGAGAGAGAGAGAGAGAGACAAGAGAGAGAGAGAGAGAGAGAGAGAGAGAGAGAGAGAAGAGAGAGAGAGAGAGAGAGAGAGAGAGACAAGGAGAGAGAGAGAGACAGAGAGAGAGAGAGAGAGAGAGAGAGAGAGAGAAGAGAGAGAGAGAGAGGGATGAGAGAGAGAGAGAGAGAGAGAAGAGAGAGAGAGAGAGAGAGAGAGAAAAAGAGAGAGAGAGAAGAGAGAGAGAGAGAGAAGAGAGGAGAGAGAGAGAGAAGAGAGAAAGAGAGAGAGAAAGAGAGAGAGAGAAGAGAGAAAGAGAGAGAGAGAGAGAAGAGAGAGAGAGAGAGAGAGAGAGAGAGAGAGAGAGAGAAAGAAAGAGAGAGAGAGAGAGAGAGAGAGAGAGAGAGAGAGAGAGAGAGAGAGAGAGAGAAAAAAAAAAAAGAGAGAGAGAGAGAGAGAGAAAGAGAAAGAGAGAAAGAGAGAAAGAGAGAATAGTGAAAGAGAGAAAGAGAGAGAAAGAGAGAGAGAGAGAGAGAGAGAGAGAGAGAGAGAGAGAGAGAGAAAGAGAGAGAGAGAGAGAGAGAGAGAAAGAGAGAGAGAGAGAGAGAAAGAAAAAGAGAGATATATAAAGAGATAAACATAAAAGGAGAGAGAGAGAGAGAGAGGGAAATATAAATACATAAAGAAAGAGAGAAAAATCAGAGACACAGAGAGAGAGAGAGAGAGAGAGAGAGAGAGAGAGAAACAACATAACAAAAAGACACGAAAGACCCTGCCCGCCCAACTCGCTGCACGCCACCGAGGGCGCGAAGCGCAGACCGACGGCGCAGACCGGAGCCCCGTCGGCAGGGCCGTCCGCGCGCGGGGCCCCGCGGGGCAACTGCTGCCAACGCGCTGAAGCCTAACTGGAGCACTGTTGGCGCCCGCCACGGGCTGGAGAGGCGCTGCGCGCTGCTACCGCGACGCTGCGCCATGGACAGGGCGGCCGCTCAGGCCCCGAGAAGCGCCTCCACGTCTGCCTCCGCGAGGCGCTCACTCTCGGCGGCCAGCGCGGCCTGGGTCTGCTCCTGGATCCAGCACAAGCCGAGCTTCTGCTTCTCTGGATCGGGCTCGACGAGCACTGACTCTTGCTCGCGGCGCCGCCCTGGACGGCGCAGGTCCCGAAGCTGCACCGCAAGCTTGCGCTCCTGCCGCGCGCGGCCTTACTGCCACTGCTGGGGCTGGCAGGTGGCCGTGACTCCTCATCACTAACGACATCTTGCTCGCGCAGAGCGCAGGTCTCCACGGTCAGGGGCTCCAGGGCGGACTCGAAATTGCAGGCCCCTGCGCGGACAAAGCTAGGGAATTGGCCCCCCCCCGAACCATTTGTCCTCCACGGTGGTGGTGAACCCGCTCTCGGTTGCTCCTGCCCCTGCTCCTGCACTTCCTTCTTCGTGGCCACGTAGCGGCGCCACCGCCGCTTCTTGAGAGCACCCTCCGACAGTGCCGCCGCCAACGCCGCACCCGACGACCGCCAGTGAGGGGAACTCATAGTCGGGCCCGGCCGCTGTTGCAACTCCGTCACCGCCTGGGACAATCCTCCTGCTGCGCCGCGATGCGGTCAATTTTCGGCTGCAGCAGGGCCTGGTTCTTCCTCTCCGCCAATTCCCACTTTTTTTTCCCCCTATCCATTCATTCTTTCGATTTTTCATGCCGAGGCGTTTCTGGAGCTCGAATAACAAGCCCAGAGGGTTCTCCGCCAATTCCCGCTTGAGACTGGCGGACTCGCCGCCTGAGCTGGCGTCTCCCGAGCAAGCTGGGGCTCTTGGTGTGCCACCCGCGGCCCCCCCGCCAGCGCCTTCTCCCCCCTCGGTGCTGGCGGCGGGGAGGGTGGTTTCACTTCCCCCTGGGGCTCCACCGAACGCGCCTGCGCCGGCAACTTCTTTGAAGTGGCCCCAGGACACGCAAATAAATACACGCAACTAAAAATATGCCCCATATTTTCCCATATTTTCTTGGTTTTTGTCTTCCAACCCACTTCCCATATTTTCCCATATTTTCCTGGGAGTCGACGATTAATTGTGTCTGTGTGTTTTTTCCCCTCCTGATTCTTGTGCCCCCGAAATGCTGGCGACAGCGGCTGGCGGAGCCACCGGCTTCTTGGCAACAGATCCACAGCCGAGGAACTGGAAAACCTGCTCTTCGAACGCGGCCCCAGCGCCCAGCTTGAGGAGCTCTGCGGCGCCTGGGAGCGCCATGCACGATTCCTCGCCACGCTGGGCGCTGGCGATCGCAAGCTCGACGATTGCGGCATCGTTGAGCACAAGCACCTGCACCTGCGCGCCTGAAAACACCGCGGCCACAGCACCAAGGCACGTCGGGGAACAGGCAATCTGCATCGAATGGCTCTCAGCTGCGAAGCCATTTTCAAGACAGCGACTGAAACGCTCGCCTCAACAGCTCGAAGGGAAAATGTCTACGGAGGGGGCATTTTTTTTATCTCTGTGGGCTCCGCGCGACGAGTCCCGCGGAGGTTTCATGCATGAATTCGAAAGAGGGGGCGGCAGGCCGACTACCTACTCGCCCGCACGCGCGCCAGCTGCGCCTCCAGGTCCGCCAAGAGGCCTGCCGACGCGTCTCGGAACTGCGCCGTGATCTGGTCCTCCGCCGAGAGGCCCGCACGGTCGTCCAGCTCCGCCTCGGACTCTGCCGCAAGCTCCATGCTGTGCGCGTCCTCGGCCGCATACGGTAGCTCCTTGCCATCGCCGTCGATGCCCTGCTGCCGCTGCGCCACCGCCGAGAGGTCCTCCCAGGCGTCACCGCCGCCTGCGCTCTCGGCGCCCCAGTCCTCGATGCAGTGGATGACGCCGTCGATCTCGGTGAAGCGCTCCAGAAACCAAGGGGAGCCAAGGAAGTCGAGCATCAAGCCGATGTCGAAGCCCTCGTCCACGAACTCCTGGATGAGCTTCACCCTATCGATGCCGCACTCAGAGTCTTGCCCGAACCAGTCGAGGAAGAACAGCTCCGCCTCGGACTCGGCCGCAATCACTCTGCTGTGCGCGTCATCGGCCGCATCGTCGCACGCCTGGCGCCGAGCCTCCCGCGGGGGCGGCTCCAACCACGTGCGAGAAATCCCCGACCTTGCTCTCCACATCTTGTCGCTGATGCCGCGCGAACAAACAGACGAGCAGGTGGGAACCTCCTTCTCCGACTCCACGTCGCACTCCACAGTGCTCTCGGAGCCGCCGCTGGCCTCGGCTGCGGGGGGGCCCATCGAGGCCTCCGCGCGCCGCGTCGCCAGCCGCCAGCCGCAAGCGACGCCCTCTCCGAAGGCCCGCGCCTCCAGCTCAGGGTCGCACCTCTGCCAGCAGCCTGGCGCCAGCAAGCCCTCGCCCAGGTCGCCCTCGGGCTCTGCCTGGAGCTGCTCCTCGTGCAGCACCGACTGCTGCACCTGCGGGACCGCCTGCTCCAGCTTCTGCGCGCCCTCGGGCCCCGCTGCGCCCCCGCCAAAGGCCACGAGCCTTGGCCCTGCAGCGGCCTCCTCAAGGGCTGCCCTCGAGGCCTGGGCAAACCCGCACGCAGGCGGCTGCGCAGCATGCCACGCCACATTGCGGCGAAGTCGGGAGCTGCCACAGACTCGCCTGCCCGCTGCAGCTGCTCGCAGGGCGGGGCGGGAAGCCGCCTCGCGGTCCCTCCAGGATCCAGGCCCCGCGCCGCCTCTGTCCCCGAGCGCCCGGCGTAGGCCAGCTTCGCAGGCCAGGAGCCGCCTGCGCCGCGCCGCGCGCCGCGCTGCCGTGGCGCCGAGAAGAGCATCTTCCTGCACGCGCATGGGCCGCCTCCCGGTCGGGCAGCCCCCCGTCGCCATCACCCAGCCGCCCGCGCCGCGCGCGGCGGAGCAGACTTGAGCCAAAATGGCTACGGACTACGGAGGGGGCATTGGATAAGGAGCCCTTAGATAAGGAATCCAGGGTCTGGAGGCCGGTGTAACTCCAATTGAGGCTGGGCCATGAGTACCACCGCCGCCCTCATCAAATAGGGAATCCTCCAGGGTCTGCGGCCTCCTGGGCACATTCCTGAATCAACGTTAGGTGGCAACTCATGGGAAGCGTGTCTCTGTGGGCACGACTTGGAAGAATTACGCAAATCAAATCACGTAGAAAACAACTGAGCCAGGCCCACGATAAGCCTGATTCAGCCAGATTGTGCCAGTTTGGTGCCAAGGACGTACCCCGACCAGTGCCAACGTCAAGCTCGGAGGAGTTGCAGCCCAATGATCGGTGGAGTGAGAAGCAGGAGGCGAAGGAGAAAGACAGGTTGTCGATGGGGCGTTGGAGAGACATGAAAGGAAGGAGAAAGGAACCGACGATGACGACGATCGAATGCAAAACCAGGCCGATGAACGGGGGGGACAAACCTTTCTGTGGGGGGGCACTGCATCACTCTTCGGTCCCATCCGCGCATTCTGGTCGATGCGGCACCGCATGATCATGTTGCACCTGTGAGGAAGGATGTCGTGTGGTTGTTCCGTGCGCGGGCCTTCGAGATCTCGGCCCGTCGAGCCGACATGGCCCCGTTCTTTGGACTGTTTTCGTCGAGGGTCGCGTTCTGATCAGCATGGGGCCCGAAAGGGACCTCCAGAGGCAAACTCTGCGAAGACTCGAACTTGTGTTCCCCCTGGATGCATGAGAAGGGAGGGGCAAGGATGAGGAAACAAGAAAGCAGACAGGAGGACGGAGGAGGGAGGACGAGGAAGGATGACAAGGAGGGGGACGAATGAGAAAAATAGATGGACCAAGGACCACAATAAAGCCACGATACATCAACGACGCTGTAATTCACCCTCCCGTTCCGTGCCCCCTGCCACATGCGTCCCTACTCCGTATGGCACAACAATCGGGGGGGAGCGACTAACCTTCCAACAGAACGTCCCCATCCCATCCCCCCCACCTGACCCAGGAACTCGAGCTCCAAAACTGCCCCCCAACCCCCCCATCCACCGCCCCGACGGCACGCGCCCGTCCCCCTAGGAGAGCCCAGAATGGAATCGATAAGTCGGATCGGCGATCGAAATGAATCGGATCGGCGGAAATCGGCAGCCGAGTCGGGAAAAGTCGGATCGGCGACAATCGGCAGGCGCGAGAAGCCGCCACCCCCTTGATGACGAGCCCCACCCCCCCAATCCCGCCCCGACGGCACGCGCCCATCCCCCCTCGAACCCAAAGGGGGGGGGAGGGCGATTGCTATGCCATCCAGAGCACAGGTACTCCTCTGCACCGGGCGATGTGGACGCGTGCGAGGAGGACGAAGAGGCGGAGGAGGAGGAGGAGGAGGAGGAGGAGGAGGAGGAGGAGGAGGAGGAGGAGGAGGAGGAGGAGAGGGAGGAGGAGGAGGAGAGGAGGAGGAGGAGGAGGAGGAGGAGGAGGAGGAGGAGGAGGAGGAGGAGGAGGAGGGAGGCCCCCTCCTTGATGACGAGCGCCCGGTGGGCCTGCCTCTGGGGCGAGATCCCCGAGCTGCACATCCTCAACTACCCATCCTGCTGCCCAGAAGACCCACGTGGGCGACGATCCAATCAGAATCCCTGAGGACCCCGACCCACGTCAGCGTCGTCGCCGTCGCCGTCGCCGTCGCCGTCGTCGTGGTCGTCGTCGTCGTCGTCGTCGTTGTCCCCCTTCAGGGTCGGCGGCACCGGCCGTAAGGCCTTCGCAACAATCAATCACACGTTCTGCTGTTTAGAAGACTCACGTGGGCGACGATCGAAAGCGGGTCTTACGCCAGATGGCATGGCGACCTTACGCGGAGGCCTACGCGGGCCGCCGGCGCGGCACGCTGCGCTTGAAGCGCGGGCGCTCACGCGCGAGCTGACACAACAGCTTACGCGCCAGTGTCGGCGCAGACGACCCCGTTCTCTTGCGTCGCTCACGTGGGATGGTAGATAAGTAAAAAAAAAAAAGAGACATCCAAGAGACCTCCCAAGAGGGCCCACAGAGGCAAGAGTTAGTGATTTCCCTTCAGTTTCTGACGGTTTTTGGCGTTCTGGCCTTTTCGGCTCACTGGTGCTCCAAGGCAGCCCAAGAGGCTTCCAAGACCGCCCCGAGAGGGCCCACGAAGCCTGCAAGAGGGCCCCAAGACGGCCCACGATGACCCCAAGACAGCCCAAGAGGCGCCCAAGACGGCCCAAGAGAGCCCCAAAACGGCCCCAAGAGGGGCCCAAGAAGGGGACCAGGAATAGAAAAGTCCAGCCTTCAGCCCCAAGAGGCCCCCAGGAGGTCCCAAGAGGCCCCCAAGAGGCCCCAAGGGGCCCCCAAGAGGCACCTCAAGAAGCCCCAAGAGGCTCCCAAGAGGCCCCAAGAGGCCCCAACACGGCTCCCAAGAGGCCTCACAACTGCCTCGCAAAGGCCCCTGAGAAGCCAATCACGAGAGCCCAACCAACATCCGTGAGGCCTCTGACCCGCCACCCACCGCCTCCGAATAATGGCAGCCGCCCAACGACACCGCATTGACAACAACACCCCGACAAACGACAGCGGCGAGGCAATACGGGCCGGCTGAATGCGCGAAGCGAGCAATAGACATCACATGACAATGCCGATGTGAAAAGAATGTGCCGTCCAGGCGTGCAGCTGTTGCACACATCGTAGCTTTGGGCGATTGGCGCTGAGGATGTCGCCATCGAGAGCCCCCTTCTGAAAACAAACAGGCCTTTATACTTGTAATTGCTGGGAGCGTGTGTAACACATGCACGGCTGACAACGAGACCAAGATTGTGAACACTACTCCCAATCCACCCGTGCAGCTGGCGAAACCAGACCACAGAACCACGGCGAGAACCGCGTTTCGAAAAAGGACCCGCCTGCATCGAAGCCTTCAAAACGAAGATGTGCATCGCTTAGGCGAGACAAGGGGGAGGAGGAGGAATAGGAGGAGGAGGAGGAGGAGGAGGAGGAGGAGGAGGTGGCCGCGTGCGAACCGAACTCCGAGGCCGACAGCGACAGCGACAAGAGGAGGACCTTCTTCTCCGCAAGTGTCGGGCCAGGACGCCTCGCGGCGGTCCAACTTCCCACGCGGGAGAAGGGCAGCCGCGCGGCTGGGCCTCTGAAGTGGTGCGCCGTCTTTGCCGCGCACGCCTTGCCGCCGCCGCTGGGCCCCACTCAACGGCGGGGGCAGCGCGGACGGAGGACCGAGGAAGGATCAAAGGAGATAGGATCGAAGAAGAGGGGCATCGAGGGAGGACCGTGGAAGGAACTGCGAGGGAGGGGGGGTAACGAAGGAGTACCGAGGAAAGACCAAGAGAGGGGGGGACGGGATCGATGAAGGATAAGGACAGTTCGGAGGAGGATCGGATCGGGAAAGGATCGAAGCTCGCATAACAGGGTCAACGAGGGATCGAGGATCGAAAGCTTCTGGCCTGCTTGGCCCTCTCACCGCCACCATCTTCCACCAACTCCATCGCCGTCGGTGTGCCTCCTCCTCCTCCGAGTGCATGTCAATCCTGTGTCATGTATCACGCCTCCTCCTGCGAGTGGCACCTGCCAACCCTGATCATGACCCCCCCCGAGAAGAAAGCTGAGCAAATGCAAGGCGGAGAAATGCTCATCCAGCTCGGGGTCCTCCCATCTTGCTCCTTCCCCCGCATCTGCCTCCAACACCCCCACCCTCATGGTTCCGCCTGCGTACGCCGCCCCCCCCCTCCGTCCACCTCCTCCTCCTCCTCCTCCTCCTCCTCCTCCTCCGCCCCCTCCTCCTCCTCCTCCTCCTCCTCCTCCTCCTCCTTCTCCTCCTCCTCCTCTATCCTGCACCTCTATCCGTTTTCCTTGCACATACATTCTTCCTGTCGCACCCCGAGGCCAGTTTCTAGGGCTGGCTGGGCGTTTCGCCTGAGACTTCCTCACCATGTACGACTCTGAAACTTAGAGTTGACAGCAGTTTCACAGATGGAGGGCGGGTGGCTTTCAAAATGTGATTCTCGCTTCAAAGCCGCGCACACTCGTTCCAAACAATGGAAAGAGCTTCACGGGTTGAGGACCACCCGTTTTCAACATGTGGCTCTCGCTTCAGCGCCGCGCACATTCGTTCAGAAAAATGTGCAAGAGCTTCACGGATTGAGAGCGGTTCCTTTTCAAACTGTGGCTCTTGCCTTAGTGCCGTTCACCTTCTTTCTAACTCATTGCAAGAGTTTCACGGATTCCCACAGTCAAGGTACCAGAACTTGCGAATTGGAGAGATTCCAGACGTTGTGGGTGCAACAGTTAAGTTGATTCGTGATGTTGAAATGTCAAGAATGACGTTCTGGCACGATCCAGGACCGTTGATGGCCCTTGGGTCATCATCGTCGACCTCACCAGCATCACCATCGGCAACACCACCACCATGATCATCATCATCAGCATAATCTCCATCACCATCATCATCCTGACTTCATCATCAACAACATCATCAGCATCAGCATCAGCATCATCATCATCATCATCATCATCATCAGCATCATCATCATCATCATCATCGTACGCATCGTCATTACCATCAGCATCACCATCATCATCAGCAGCATCGTCGTCATGATCA